ATGAATAGAGTGCGTTTCTCAGTTGCAAACATTCTTCACCTCCAAAAGATAGTAATCCTTTTCTCTGCAAAAAAATGGTGTCACAAGCTGGGATCAAACCTGCTGGCTTAACAATGATGAAAATACGAAAAAACAGTTTCAGAAGCTCAAAACCCTTTACATTATATGTCACGCAGATGCTGTCCTGATTCCAATGATTAGGCCCCAAGCACTCAAAAAAGTGCACCTCACTAATAAAGATGACCAGCAAGAATTTGTGAATTTTTTGTCATGTTTTTCATATGGTCCATACAATTCAGCTGTGTTTTGTATTAGGTTGTCAAGAAAATAATGTCCGTTTTTATTTGCTTGCTTTAACAAAGCAACCAGACTCAACCAACAAAGGGTAAGGGATACTGTTCGATAGAGCAAAGCAAGCTCTACAATATGGCGCCCATGTCTTTGCGCCAAGCTCGATCCACGGAGAGTTCGAACTCAAAATCTAGAGATTTCAAATGCCCAAAAAATCGAAAAAAATCAGATCTTCGTCCAAATAATTTCTACGGAACTTCCACTCGCTCACATCAATACTATCGATATCTGATATCCATATGCGCGATTGTCGTATTTTTTCCTTGACTAGAAACTGAGAAAACGAGAAATTCCCTGATTTTCTCAAAGTAATGCTGAGCCGTTTTTGCATATGTAGTTCTATACTACAAGCCTAGGTAAACATAACTGTAGGTTTTCAGCCTAATTCGGGCGGTATTTTCTGAGAAATGTCGATTTTAGCACTGAAACTGAAACGAAAATATCCGAATTCGTCATTTTTCGAAAACTACCGCTTGGAATGGGCTGAAAACCTACAGTTATACTTACCTAGGCTTGTAGTATAGAACTACATATGCAAAAACGGCTCAGCATTGCTTTGAGAAAATCAGGGAAATTTTCGTTTTCTCAGTTTCTAGTCAAGGAAAAAATACGGCAATCGCACATATGGATATCTGATATCGATACTATTGATGTGAGCGAGTGAAAGTTCCGTAGAAATTATCTGGACGAAGATCTGATTTTTTTCGATTTTTTGGGCATTTGGAAATCTTTAGATTTTGAGTTCGAACTCTCCGTGGATCGAGCTTGGCGCAAAGACATGAGTGCCATCTTGTAGAGCTTGCTTTGCTCTATCGAACAGTACCCCTTACCCTTTTTTGGGTTGAGTCTGTTCGCTTTGTTAAAGCAAGCAAATAAAAACGGACATCATTTTCTTGACAACCTAATAGATATTCTATTAATCTGTGTAAAGTCTGGTCTATCGTATAGTCTATCGATTTTCTTATAATCCATACAACAACAAAAAAAGGAAGTCGTATCTGGGTTGCATCTAATTCTTCGGAGATATGAAAGCGTATTCGCTGTTTCTTTGCTGTATTACGGCGCAATTTTCCTATTTCTATTTTGAGAAATTAAATCTTCGTTGTGTCTCCAGCAAATGGCAAAATTTCAAGCTCAATCCCAGTCGCATTCAAGTTTCTTAGAGTCGCATCGAAATTTTTGTCAAGTGTTCTGCTCCTAAACTTGCAACTTTTTCCTTCAATTGTCTGAGCACTCTACCACACATCCTGTTCATTGCAAGCTTTCTCTCCGATACCGTGCTCATGCACATTTTGACATTGCTCGGGAAAGCGCCAAAATGATTTTGTTTGCAGGAGAACCTGTGCAGAGAGTAAAAATTAGTTTTTCAGACGCGAACACCCTTCACTTCTTAACAAAAGCATTTTTCTTCTTAAGAAAAAACGGTGCTGCAAAGGGAAATCGAGCCAGAAAAACTATCACTTTAATCTTAAGCGTTCTTGTTTCCAGAACCATAATAAATGACTCTCAGTTATTCATTAAAACATGAATAAGTCATGCCGAGTCATTTTTATCTGTCACTAGAAAATAAATGATTATAAAATAATCAATCATGACTAAAGTAAACTGTTCTTTATTTCTGGACTAGTTGGCTTTCCCGGTCCATCCCGGGCCATTGATCACCTGCACCGCGACCCCCCCGCCCTCTTATATGTTATGGATGACTTACCGTGGGACATCCTCTTCGAACCACATCCTCATGATCTGAGGTGAAAATGAGCTTCACCGCCCTCCTTTACATGACTACGGGAAAATGCTTGATTAAACATGATAAGCCTTAAATTCCTTAGGAAAACGTAAACAAATCAATAAATCGATAAAAGGACCCAGTGAATTTTAGTAAAAAGTATCCTAAAACCTTCTCCGGGGTCAAGGACATCTGTATGCAAAGTATTAGCCCAATCGGTTGAGCGGCTTGCGTTTCTGTAACTCACATACCCTCCAAACAGAAATGTTTACATTTCTGTTTGGAGGGTATGTGAGTTATAGAAACGCATTGTGTTATATACATAGAGATTATTCTTTGTTTTTCATTTCTGCCACTGGCTTTAATGGGGCGTCTAACGCTTATTTTGTAGGATTTCATTTTTCCCGCTCCTATGGTGAAATGAAAACATTTTTCTGACTACCCAGCAATCTTGCATTCTGGTTCTTGCAGTCGTAGCTTTGAGAACGTCAACTATGAAAGCTAGGTACTGTTTTTATCTAGGCATTTGCGTCGAATTGCTGTCATTGTCTTCAAGTCGATGACGCAAGTTCACAATGTCGTCACAAATAAATTAGCCAGGTATAGCAACAAAATGTGCATTAAGTACTACCTTGGTCTTATTCGCACTTATGTTATTATGTAAGCACACTTCAAGCACACTAGCACCTTTTTGAATGCATCAGAAATTGTACTGATTAATAATGCAGTAGGGGAGTACTGGATTCAATAGGTAGTAAAATAAGAATGTGAGGAAAACTAGGAACTATTATTTTGAATTGCGGGTTGCTGGAAAATGAAAAATTTATTTTTAATGTGCATCGGCCTACGATTTGGGCAGCCATACATATCGCACCTCGACCTTTTATAGACGTTCCAAAGAAACTATAAAGAAGGGCCCCAATCAATCAGTGATTCTGCTATAATAAAAGAAGGATACTAACTTGAGTAAGACAAGATATATACTTCTAAACACGTTTTTGAACGCTGATTAAATCTGCTCGAACCTCCAAATCTTTTCTGCAGAACAACCTCCTGAAAGAAGTTATGAGCGTTTAGTCCAGAATTTGTGAAGCTTTAAGGGGCTCAAAATTACCAAAAAGCTGTATAAAAAACACTCGAAAGTGAGTTATCAAATTTGTGCAAATTATATCGACTAAAAGAAGACATGTAGCCAGGGTAAATCTGCTGGGGTGTCTTTGTAAATAAGCCACTTAGAGCTTGACAGAAAACTTCAAACGCTCATGACTTTTTTCGGAGAGTTGTTCCGCAAAAAAGGAAGGCAGATTTAGAATCAATTTGGAATCAGCGTTTGAAGGCGCATCTAATGATATATATATTGTCTTTGAGCGTCGACTCAAGTTGGTATCCTTCTCTTGTAAGTAGATAACTAGGGATTCAATAAAGAAGTGTTCCTAGCAATCTATTTTCTTTTGCCAATTAGTATGATGTATTCAGCCTATAAGTTGCTACAGCAAATCTGAAAAGCTGGTAAAAAAGGTAGAGATCATCCCTAGGCTTCAGTGCAAAAGAAAGTTCATGGAGTGAGTCTATCAGATAGTAGTCATGTTTACAAAATTTAAGCCTTGACACACATGGTATGTCAAGCAGTCACGCGGTAGTTATTGCTTGACACACCATGTGTGTCAAGCGGTCGTCAATGTCTTAAGTAAACCCTCCATCAGTGTAACTCGACTCGTGCGGCTACGTTGAACGTAGGACGCCTCAGTCCAGCATCCAGTGAGCTATAGATCTGGATACGGATCGCTATCTAATCATGATAGCCATGTGCGTTCGTGAAAAAGGAACCACTTGAACCGGTTTGATCGAACAGGTAAGCGACTGAAATTGAACCCGAGCGGTCATGGTTTAACACCGGCTAGCGCCACACTTTTGTTGTATCGCCTGGCGTCTTTGATAACACTACTATCGCAAAATCGATGATGACCACTATGGATTTCGTCTAGCACATGCATGGATAAAACAAAAACACATTTTTTGACAAAAATTTCACGAAGAAATGGTTGCAACATAAAGTGAATGAGTCAAATCAATAAATTCTAGTCTTGAGCAGCTTTTCGAAAAAACTCAGCAAACTTTACAAAAAGAAAAGGATCTGTTTTCTCCCTTTCTACGCCCAAATCAGCTGTTCGTCGATTCTCTTCGCTTTGGGCCCCGATATTGTGTTGGTTTTGCGTCGATTTTGTCTGCAGTGTTAGGCAAATTGGTGTGTATCGTAAGTTACTCAGGAGCAACTTACGGGAGTCTTCTCTGCGCGTCCTCTTTTCTACACTATTTCCATTTCTTTAATATCGGTTCACGTTCAGCTCACCTGAACGTGAACTGGTGTGCAACTGACTGCAGCAGGTGGACGGATGGCCAACTGTCAGTTCACTTGCCATGCTTATAGCACGGGAAGGTGGGCTGTCATCAGTTCACCTGACGTAAGCTCAACTGATGGGTCAAGTTTGGTTCACCTGAACTGATCGAGCTTTACTAGAGCCTATGTCTCAACATTACATCTTTACTGTATTCATGAAGGAACTGCATATAATGCAAATGTCAATTATTAGCCGTAAAATATAGTAGTCAATCAAGTACGCATTTTACTGCATTGCAGATTTTATGGTAGCCATTTCAGAACCACAGTTAAACTTTTGCACACTAAAGTTTCTTTATTAAGTTCAACTTTGCACCTGATGTTGAGCCCTAGATTTTCCACTCTCCACTCCTCAGTACCTTTCCTTAAGCGCATGATTACTCTTGTAAAATATAACTGAGAATTTTTTTCGATGATATCGTCATGCTCTATTTAAACAGCCGTGATGGTAGATTTTTACGGTGATATCCTTTTTGTTGCGCTCTCAATCCAAAATTTGAAACATTACTATAAATCACATTACAGATGAGCCTAAACGCGCTGATAACTGGCAGTGAGGACTTGGATGAGAAAATAAGTGCCGAGGAGTTTATCAAAACGCTGAAGAAGGTAATGGTTGGATTGCAGCGTTGTATGGGGTTTCCATCCTAACTGCCATTTTTTCCAGGTTGACAGTACCGAATCAAAAAAGCCACAAAGTGGTGAATCAACTGCATCGTAAGTTTGAAACATCCTACAATTTCCTTTTCCAGCTCAAGCTTAACCAAAATGAGGTTTTAAGCAGTCGGAGCTAATTCTTACTTTATTGTTATGAGACTTGACTATTTACACCTGCCACTCAGCACTCGATTTATTCTTGCGATTTCGCTGGGTAATCAAGCAAAGATTGCATGATTGCAACGAACTCCACCCTCGCCACTCCCACATTACAATTCGAATCAACGGAGCTAATCAACGCTTTATGACTCATAATTCTTGAGCAATAAACAAGCGAACGAGAAAAATAGCATGAGATATGGACTTCCAGCTTGCTTTTTTCATCTGATACGATTATGGGAAATCTCAAGTGCATGCTATGGGCTCTCTTTGCAATATTTAGTGGATTGACCGCTTACGATTATGAGAACGAGATTTTTCTCCAGCTGGTAATCATGGCAATCTTGACTTGAAGCGCGAACAACCGCACATCATTTCGGCTAACCAAAATTTCATTTTCTGGATAACCGAAACTGGATAACGGCAGAACCTCTGCAAAACAGCATTCAGATGAAAGACTAAGCCGTGCAATAAGCTTGGAGTGGCGATCCCAAGATTTCTGAGGAGAAGGGGATGGCGACGAAAATCCAATGAAATGACGATGAAAAAATGTTTCAAATAAAGGATGGCGTTAGCCGCGCACTCCGAATATCCTTTTGAAATGCTTTCCTAATTTTTTCCCTAACTCGAAACGCCTCTGAAAAAGTTTTCGCAAGGTAATTGGTTTTTAAAGGGTTTTTGAGTACCGATTTTTTGCAAGGGTTTGCAAGCCACTTACACATTTTTATAACTTCTTAACTTGTACTAACCACGCCCTTAGAATTCGTGTGAAAAACACATACTGAAAATGGCACGCAAGTAGGAAGCAATTCAAAATCAGCTAACATCATCCATCTATCAATAGGTATTTCACCTCCATTGACCACGGTCATTCAGTATTGTTATCTCATAATTTCGCTTCAAACCTCAAGGTTCTTATTCGATAGTATAAGTTCGCCCAAGAAAATTGAGGCAGGGGTCTCTAGCATGTGCGATTATGCCAACCATGTCACAATGCCTCATTAGTACATTGACTATCCCAACAGTGTGTCTCAGTGAATGTGTCACAGCTGCAGCGGCTCGGACGCTGCGGCCGCCTCGTTTGGGCCTTGCGCCGCGTTCGGCGCGATGTCAAGGCATTTCCCCACACCTTAGCAGCAAATTCAAGCTGGTAAAATACACAGATGATATCGTCTCAAACTCTGGAGCTTACTGCAATTGAAATCCTACAAATTCCTCCTTGAAAAATACTGTAGACCAAATCAAGCCATTTTCAGAGGATCCACAGACAAGATGGCCGCATGTAAATGTGACGATGATAAGAAGAAGCTCATAGAGAAAAAGTAGGCACTGATCATTGAAAGTGTAGCAATGTTTACAAAAATATATTCAGAGCAAGTGGCAGCGATTTACTTCTCAAAATGCGAAGCCGCTTCCAGCATCGCGCTACCGAACCTGTATTTCATACGCTTGCGAATGCAGAGGCTAGGTACGTTCGGAAAGTGAGTTCTCATCAATACGACAAAGGTCCCGCGAGCTGAAAACGAGCGAATCACTAGCTCCTATGGATAGAACAAAAATTTTTGCAGACCAGCCTCGAGCAGCAACAGTCAGGAGACGGGGGATCAGCAGACAACACAGTAAGGCTTCCGCAAATCGAGACCTTGTCGAGTGAACGACGAACAGACTCTGCACCAGGCAATGTGTCAGTTTCACATAACAAGTATCTCAAGGACAGCTGACCTCTGTTTAGTGACATAGAATTTGCTTTCTGTTTGTGTCTTGAAATGCTTTGTTCTATTACGTATCTGTCCATCAAACAACTGGAATTCGTTTTGAGAGCCTAAGTCTATAATTATGTGATAAAGTAACTCCGAAGTGTTGAGCTTGCTTTTGAACTCAATGAAATATTGCACATCTAAATTATCTAAAGTTAATTCTTTTCTGATCATTCCAAAAAAGTTCCAGCTACTTCCCGAAATGCTCTGCAGAACGGCATATTTCGTAAAGATTGGAGTGGGCGGGGTTTTTCAGAAGGAAGCGGCTCACTTAAAATCAGTAAGTAAGCGGAGTTTTCCAAATGGGCGGGGCTCCCCAATCACAGCATATCACACCACTTCCACCCATACTTTGCTGCTCCAAGTGAGGTACCTTACAAGGAGAGGATACTTAGTCGAAAGCACCAATCCAGATGAGACATATACCATCTTAAAGCGCTTGAAACGCTGATTCCACATCTGCAGTTTCTAGCTGCGGAGCGGTTTTGTGGGAGGAGTTATGAAGGGTGTTCCCCTCTGGGGTTTAGGCTCCCTCCAGCGGCCTCTCCTTACCTGTAAGCACTGTAGAGGAGAACAAACTGGTGGCAAGTGACCTAGTGGTAAGTGACGTGCTTGATAAAGAGAGTGTCAAGGTTTTAATCCCCTTCGCATGCAAAATTGAACTTCTAAATGGCTTTAGAGCTCTAAAGCATAAAACTTCTGATGATATTGATACTAATCGAAGTTAGAAGTGTTGAAAAATCAAAGTAATATGAGTATTATAATCTTTATTGCAATCTTCATTCAAGTTACTTACCATTAGGTCAGTTGCCATCAGCTATACTCCTCTACAGTGCTTACAGATAATGGGAGACCGCTGGAGGGCGCCTAAACCCCAGAGGGGAACACCTTTCATAACTCCTTCCACAAAACCGCTCCGCAGCTAGAAACTACAGATTTGGAATCAGCGTTTCAAGCGCTTTAAGATGATAAATGTCTCATCTGGATTGGTGCTTTCGACTAAGTATCCTCTCCTTGTTAGTTCGAGGGTAAGGGAACGGCCAGAGGAAGGACAGTGCTAATGTGTGTCAGATTATATCAAATAATCTAGTGATGCTGAAATCAACAAGATATCATGCAAAATTTATCGTAGACGGAGCGAAACCCAATGAGCCAAAACTTCACAACGAAAAAGGGTTAGGATTTTTACTCCTTGAAAGAGCTTAGAGACATGACTGAAGAGAGGCACAACGGAGTATTAGGTCGTTTTATAAGTTCGTAGAGTTTTTATTTTAGTGGCCATTTTTTGATGAAACGATTGGTTTACAGGAAAGTTTTAGCGATTGGTTTACAGAAGAAACCAAAAAAAAGCGACATTCTTTTCTTTCCAAACTAATAATTTCAGTCCAATAAACTTGTTCTACTCATTACTCCATTCAAGCGCCGGAATGGCTACAACACTGTTTTTACCTTGGCCAAACCTTGAATTTCTGCATCAAAATGTAAGTTTTCTCTCCCCCCCCCCCCACTAGAGCGCTTTGCAGAAATCGAAAGCAGATTTGGAATTAGCCTTTCATACTGTGAGAGACAGTATTTTTCTTTGAGAACTGCACTTCGAGCAAGTACCCTTTCCTTGTTAAAGCGTTCTAGTCACCGAGTTGTTCCGGTCACCACCTTTGAAGTGGTTTTCTTGCCTCAGAAACAAAGTGGTGCAATGCCACTTGGGCACGGACTTTATTAGGGCAGGCGATAATATTCTAAGTTTTCATACCTAACCGGATGCTGCCTTTGCAGGAAGTATCCCACCAAAATTGAGGTAGTGTGGGTTTCCACATAGTTAGAGGACCCTTGGATAGGCGACTGTACTCGATCTGGATTCCTCCACGCCGAGAAATTTGCCCATAAAAGGCTCTCAAAACGCGATTTGGCCCGCACAGCCAACGCTCCCAGTTTCCGCCTTACGAGTTTCAAAATGTACGTCCACTTGGCGTTCACCTCCATGGTAATGCTGCCACTATGGCAAAAGCTAGGCTGAGAAGGCACAACACGTCCACGTTGCTTCCACAGGGCTTTCAAAAAAAACGGGTTTTCGTATATTTTATGCGATTTTGGACCCTCATTGAGTTAGACAAGGACGAAAAGGTTTGCGCTATGCGAAAACCTTGACAACGAGATTTTGCTGACAAGGGAAGGATACTTAGTCGAAAGCACGAATCCAGATGAGACATATATCATCTTAAAGCGCTTGAAACGCTGATTCCAAATCTGCAGTTTCTAGCTGCGGAGCGGTTTTGTGGAAGGAGTTATGAAGGGTGTCCCCCTCTGGGGTTTAAGCGCCCTCCAGCGGTCTCCTCGTATCTGTAAGCACTGTAGAGGAGTATCAGCTGTGGCAACTGACCTAATGGTAACTAGCTTGAATGAAGATTACAGTAAAGATTATGATACTCATATAACTTGGTTTTTTTACACTTCTAACTTCGACTAGTATCAATATCATCAGAAGTTTCATGCTTTAGGGCTTTAAAGCCATTTAGAATCTCAACTTAGCATGCGAAGGGGATTAAAACCTTGACACTCTCTTTATCAAGCATGTCACTTACCACTAGGTCAGTTGCCACCAGTTGGTACTCCTCTACAGTGCTCATAGGTAGGGGGAGACCTGGTGGAGGACGCCTCAACCCCAGAGGAAACACCCCTCATAACTCTCTCTACAAAACCGCTCCGCAGCTAGAAACTGCAGATTTGGAATCAGCGTTTCAAGCGCTTTAAGATGATTTATGTCTCATCCGGATTGGTGCTTTCGACTAAGTATCCTCTCCTTGTGAGACAATGCCGTAAAAACAGTTATCAGAAAGTACAGATTGTCTAAAGGGTCAGAGAAGTCAGGAAACTGTCCGAAGGAGTGTCCTGTTCCCGTTTTGAGAGCGTTACCGTGACGCTATACTTAAAGGCAGCGTCCAGGCAGATCTGGACCTATGGGGCTTTTACGTGGAAAGTACTTTTGGGGCCCTAACTAAGGCACTCCCCAAGCGGCAGCTCAGGTAGTGCTCTAATGGCTGAGATATTCCCCTCGAAACTGGCCCCCGCGAACGTATTCGCATGGATTCATGGCAGTTTCGCGGCAGGATCCACGCTTTGCGCCATGAATGCATGCGAAACACGGTCGCGGGGTCCAGTTTCGAGGGGAATATCTCAGCCGTTACAGCACTACATGAGCTGCCGCTTGGGCAATGCCTTAGTTAGGGCCCCAAAAGTACTTTCCACGTAAAAGCCCCATAGGTCCAGATCTGCCTGGACGCTGCCTTTAAGCTGAGATCGAGAGCAGCGGATTTCGATTAAAATTGGCAGAGAAGATACACAGCATTGATGCTGACTACTGAAAAAGTTTACGAAGTGTATGCGTGTTTTCCTTCTAGCTTCCTACAGGTATCGTAGACTCCCCAAAATATGGCGGCTGGAGTCTCAAAAAGGATACGCGACGCGGTTTTTGGCACCAGTGTTATAGGATAGGACTACCTTTGATCTTACAAATAAGACGGTTCTTTTTTTGATAAAGATAGGTCCGCCCTATGCACCCTTTACATAAGTCCGCCCTACAGATAAGTCCTTTTTTCATTATAACTACCCTAAAACATTGTTGGACAAGTCCGAAGATTTTCAGACTCATCTGCGGACGGACTTATGTTACGGGAAAGCCTATGTGTGAGATTTTAGGGTAGATCATTGATTTATCAAGTTTATCAGTACCGCATTGAGCCTGCCCGCTATATTTTAGGGAATCGGTCAAACCTCCGCGGTGCACAAACAGCGTGCTCGACTCGATGCTTCCTATCTCGCTTTCGAGAAAAAATATTTCCACGCTCACAAGAGGAATGAGTAATGGAAACTTCAGTTCACCTTTGGAAGCCTATACAAGATTAGAAGTTGCGCACTTTTCTACTACCTCGATGTCAGTCGAATCAGTGCAAGTTTTAGCTTATAGATTAGTGATAATAAGGAGTAGCAGAAAAGGAACAACATCATGCTTGAGACGTTTCCTTTAGACTTAGAAAACTCATGGTCAAATTAAAAAAGTGCATGTTTACGAAACCCCACCGACTTGTCAGAAGGCTTCGTATTCACTAAAAGCGTCTATACTCTACAAGACCATCCTAAAGAGACACGTGTTTCACACAACAAAGGAAAGTTTATTTGAAAAGAAACTCCTCAGCAATCATCCGAATAAACGAAAAATACTTCTAATCGAATTGTTTATTCTAATGATCGAATAAATGACTTATTCACATTTGAATGTCGGATGTCGAATATTCAGAAAAGTTATTTTTCTCGATTTGTCCAATGAACTAGTGATCGAAAAAGGTCTTTTTCATTTATTCAATTATTCAAATAATCTTTATTAAGTTGGCACATGATTGTTGCATCTTTTTCTTATAACTTTTACGTTTTTGAATGTGGCGCTATTTTTTAATATTGTGGTGATTTATCATGTGAGCAACGAACGCGGCCATCGCATTTGAGAGTTGCGGCAAGGCAATTCTTAAGCAGGAAAAAAAGGGAATTGGCGCGAATTCAGATGAAACTTGGTCTGCGGGAGGGGGGGGGGGTATGGGATCCTCTGAATACGAAAGTAATATTCATTTTGCATGAAGGCTTACTTTGCTAAGGAAAAGTTAAGTTACAAAAAATCACTGGGTCATCTTCTGACCTTGGAAACGATTCCATATGATATTCAACTTTGACGCAACGCATGCGACTTGTTCGAGTTCACAAGATCGCCAGATTTCAATTTGACTTTGAATTGTAGTTCTTTTATCGCTGGGCTTAGTATTCAACCTCTGCGAACATTTTGCCTGCGGTTCCGACTAAATTTAGTCAATCCACTTTTTGTATACCTTCGTTTTTGCTTAAAAAAACCGTAAAACCTCAATTCCGAAGAGTGCTGTGGATTCAAGGTTAATATTAAGTTGGTGCAAAAATAATGTCCG